AAAAAAAAAAAAAAAGAGCACACTAACTGGCTAGTAAGCCAAGGCCGTGCGCGGATGGGTGCACACACACACGTGTGCGTTAACTGGCGGTCACTTCCTCTGCGCCAGGCCCCATCTGCCCACCTGGAGGCAGCAGCCTCCAACAGGGACAGGTTTGTGTGAGACTCCTGTGGCCTGTGTGCCCTGGGTATGGAGAAGCAGGTCGAGGGGAGATGGCAAATGTGGGGTTGGGGGTGCCATTTATTCAGGGAGGCGTGGGAGAGGCCCCAGGGTGGTCCTGTGTCAACAGGTAGCCCTCTGTGGCACCCACACGGGGCTGGGGAGATGAGGCGGTAATGGCGGTGAGGCCCCGGGTCACATGGGGCCTGTAGACAGATGTCACAGTGAGGCTCCTTCTCGGGGGGAGGCCCTCGGGGACCCGCGGTGGTAATTTGGGGGGAAGATGTGGCCACTGTGGCTGCGGTGCTCAGAGCAGCCTGTCGGCGGCGGGGCCGGGGAGAGCCAGGGGCCGGGTGGGTGAGGACGCAGTCGGTGGGACTTGCCGATGGACTACGTGTGGAATGGCCAGGCCGAGTCCAGGGCACCTCCATGGTTGTCTGCCCGGGCAGCTGGGAGGACAGAGCTGCCACTGACTGAAATGGAGAGACCCTGTGGGGGGCAGGTCATCAGGGAGATGGGGTGCTTTCCAGACAGCTAGGTGGACATGTGGGAACAGGTAAGGCTGGGCGAGGTCACCTCGGACATATGTGGGGACATCCCAGCTCCTTAGAGGTCAGGGAGGTGAGCCGGGAACCAGGTGAGGTCTCTGCTGGCGTGGCGTGGTGAGGAAAGCCTGTGTGGCAGACTGTTCAAGTACACTGTCGTCTCAGTGGCTAGAGGAGGGGTCGGCGTAAGCCCAGTTACAGCAGGGAGGGGGGACTTGCCTGGGCCCAAAGCCCGTGGTCGGTCCTAACTGACGTGCTCAGTTTGAATTTGTGCTGGCACCCGGCTGCCCGTCTGGTGATCTGGGTGAGGGGGCAGCCGGGCTCAGTCTCAGCCTGGCCACCTAATCTTGGCATGTAACTCCTGAGTCTCCCATTTGTACATCTGTGACGTGGGACAGTCTCTCCTACCCTGTGGTTCAGAGGTGCCTTACGAATGAAACTAAATGCATGTTAACTGGCTGTGCAGCCGTGTCCTGCGAGCTCCAGTCTCTCCATGAGGTGACTGTAGGCCGAGAGCTTCCAGCTTTCTCCAGCTAAGCAGCTTTCCCGGAGGGGTGCGGATCTGCCCTTTGGGGACCTGTGGCCAGCCTTTCCCTTGCCTTCCCCACCCTCTTCCCTTCCCACACTTGTTCCCTGCTCAGACCCTCAGACCCTCACCATTACCCCCCAGCACGAGCTGCCTTGATCAGGATGGAGGAGCCCTTTCCCCAGAAGTATATGCGGCCTTCTCAGCCTACCCAGGCTGTCCTCGGTGTTGAGTAAATGTCTTTTAAAAATAGGCTCAGGTGGTGGGGACATTGGGTACTGATGAATATGCATGAGTAAATAGAAATATTTTCTTTCTATTTTTAAGATTTTATTTATTTATTTGACAGAGAGAGAGCATACGCACATAAGCAAGGGAAGTGGCAAGCAGAGGGAAAGGGAGAAGCAGGCTCCCCGTTGAACAGGGAACCTGATGTGGGGCTCGATCCTAGGACCCTGGGATCATGACCTGAGCTGAAGGCAGACACTTAACTGAGTCACCCAGGCGCCCCATAAATGGAAATATTTTCTGCCCACACTGGGCAGGCTCTCCAGAGGCCCCCAGGCCTTTTTTTTTTTTTTTTTTAAAGATTTTATTTATTTTTTACAGAGAACAAGTAGGGGGAGCAGCAGAGGGAGAGGGAGAAGCAGGCTCCCCACTGAGCAGGAAACCTGATGTGGGGCTCGATCCCAGGAACCTGGGATCATGACCTGAGCTGAAAGCAGACGTTTAACACACTGAGCCACCCAGGCGCCCCCCCTCAGGCCTTTTAACCTGTCTTTCCACAGCCAGTTCTGAGCCCACGTCTTATCCAGGGCTTCTTGCTCCTCTACCTGGAGGGTCTTCCCAGCTATACCAGCTCTCAGTGAGGTCTGCTTTGTGCTAGACATGGACCCCAGAGTCCCAGTAAAACCAGTCTCTGGGGGCGCCTGGGTGGTTCAGTCGCTAAGCCTCTGCCTTCGGCTCAGGTCATGATCCCAGGGTCCTGGGATCGAGCCCCGCATCAGGCTCCCTGCTCCGTGGGAAGCCTGCTTCTCCCTCTCCCACTCCCCATGCTTGTGTTCCTGCTCTCTCTGTGTCTCTCTCTGTCAAATAAATGAATAAAATCTTTAAAAAAAACAAAACAAAAAAACCCAGTCTCTGCCCTTGGGGAGCTCCCAGACCTGGGAAGGGGCAGTTGGACAGACAGACAAGTCATTCAGGTTTGCTGAGCAATGTCTGAGGGCGGCCAGAGAGGCTTCCAGGATGGGGTCACTGCTCAGAGTTCTGGAAACCCATAGGCTTGTTCCAAATGGAGTGGGGGAGTAGGGAGGACCCTGCAAGCCAGTTTTTCACACAGTCTCCCTACACAGTAGGTTCATGGCCTGTTCAGCCCCCTCCTGCGTCAGCCCTGCCTCCCATCTGACTCCTGCACACCAGGGGCCTTCCTGCCTCAAGCCTGTGCCCTGGTTACCCCCAGCCTAGAGTGTACCCTCTGGTCATCACAGGTCACCACCGCTTAGGGCTCTTCCTGCTAACCCCTTGGCCCCAAGACCCGCCAGCCCCTCGTGGGGTTTTCCTCATGGTCTTAGCACCACGGTGGGAGTGGTCACACTGGGGCCTGAGAGGCTGGTCTAGCTTGGTTCTGTGGGGGCATCTCTTTACTCCCCACCTTTTTTTTTTTTTTTTTTTTAAGATTTTATTTATTTGACAGAGACACACAGCGAGAGAGGGAACACAAGCAGGGGGAGTGGGAGAGGGAGAAGCAGGCTCCCCGCTGAGCAGAGAGCCCGATGCGGGACTCGATCCTAAGACACTGGGATCACAACCTGAGCTAAAGGCAGATGCTTAACGACTGAGCCACCCAAGCGCCCCTACTCCCCAGTTTTAGAAGCCCCAGCCTACCCAGGGAATGTTGCTGGGAGCTAGGAAGCAGCCTGTGGCTTCATCCCAGTGTCTGAGGAATTGGAGACAGTGGGGGGGTGGGGGTACTGGACTGTGTCAGGTGCAGCATGGGCCGACCCTTGCTCCAGGCACTTTGCTGCAAACCACTTGCCATAATCTTATCTCTCCTCAGAAACCCAAGGACTTTGACTTTGCCCAGCAGAAGCTGACTGACAAGAACCTGGGGTTCCAGATGCTGCAGAAGATGGGCTGGAAGGAGGGCCACGGCCTGGGCTCCTGTGGGAAGGGCATCAGGGAGCCCGTCAGCGTGTACGCAGCAGGCGCTTGGGGCCAGGGGTGGGGATGGGCAGCGTGCTCGGGGAGATGAGGGTCTCTTTGGGATTCTGGTTCTGAGTCCTTTGATCTGCAGCCTGATTTCTTGGCTCCCCTCATGTTAAACATGTCTTAAAGCTGGCAGGGTTTTTTTCCTGACAAAGGGAGTCTTCAAATGAGGTGAGAAGCAGATCATTTATATATGCAGGTGTTCATACAGGCTCCTTGCTGCACTCACACAGACGATTTAAGTGGCTTCTGGGCCCTGGCATTTCAGCCACATTCCTTATTGTCCTAAAAGCTGAGTGGTAATTCTAGGTAGTTACGATAAAAATCACTTTCCTTTTTCTGAGAACCCATACGCCAGCTAGCCAGCGTGGGAGAACATGGCCCAGAGTTTGTTAGGCCCCATTAACATTCAGCAGGCATTTCATTTAAAACTGAGCTTACCACCTGCTGGGGGAGGTTTTCTGCTGTAATCGGGCTTCTGAGCACGCGCCTCAGAAAGTCCGCACACCTGTGCAGGTGAGTACCCCTTGTTCCGCGCTGTGAATCGTGTCTTCACTTTCCCTCTCCTTTTCCCTGTTGTGTGTCCCACATGCCTCTGTCCCACTCTGACTCCTTGTGCCGTTTCCAGTCCCCTGGCGGCCGGGCTCTGTGCTCGGTGTGGCTAACTCTCCATTTTGCTCCTAGGGGAACTGCATCGGAAGGGGAGGGGTTAGGTGCTGACGGGCAGGAGCACAAGGAAGACACATTTGACGTGTTCCGTCAGAGGATGATGCAGATGTACAGACACAAACGGGCCAACAAATAGGTATGTGTGTGAGCTAGTGCATGGGGCATTCTGCCTAAGCTGACGTGCTGGTATGTAGAGACAATTTCTCCAGAAAAGTCAGAGTTCCCCATCCCCCCAAAACCAAACACACACACACACGAAAACATTCTGTGAGGGTAACAAAGAGTGTTTGGATGTGGATGTGTCCCACCCCTCACCTTCCAGGTTTGGTTGAAGGAGTGAGCCCCGAGCTCGCAAGCATGCAGCCCGACAGCGGGCCTTGGTGCGGGGCTCCTGGGTTCGACTGCCCGCGGCCATCCTGGGGAGAGAGTTCGCCCAGGGAGTGGCCTGGTGTCCTGCGAGGGTGAGGGCGATCTGAAGCCAGAGCTGCACAGGCCAGCTGCTTTGCCACATCCTTTTTCTGAGCATCTTCAAATCCGTTTCCTTCTCAAGGGCCTTGGGCCCATATAAACATCCCCTTCTTTCTCCTCTTTTTAGTTGCCTTCCCCACCTGTAATTTCCAACTCAGTTTTGAACAAAATCGTTCTCTCCCTGAATAGATGAAACCATTGGTGAGAAAACTAAGGCTCGAAGCAGCAATTGCTCTTAAAGCGCCACCTCTGCCCCGGATCTGCCCTGGAGCCAGTGGCCAAGTAGGTTCGGTGTGTACACGAGAGGCAAGCGTCTCTGCAGCTCTGGTGTGGAGGGTCCGAACGCTGGCTTTTCTTCTTCTTAAAGGAAAAAAGAATGCGCCATTTCCGATCTGCTTTTGCCTTTCCCCCTCTTCCAAATGCTTATGGCAGCCAGTCCCCTGCAAGTCTTTCCTGGCTCCCCCTAGGAAGGATGTGCTGCCCTTGGAAGCACCGGGGCCCTGTTTGTGCTCAGGAACCAGCTCTGGGCGGGTCTCCCGTCGCAGAGAACCTTGCTCTCAGAGGTGCTCTCTTAGCAAACTTGGTGCCCAAATGATGACAGATGGTGGCTTTTCGTTGCTTCCAGGCTGTAAATAGGGGATGTAATCCGGTATTAGTGAAGTCCGCTCTGGTCCACAGCCTGCGGGTTGGGGCATGGGAACTCTTTGAACAAGTGGAGATACTTGATTCCACGAACGTCGTATTTATGGAGGCTCGGCTCTTAAATGCCTCCCAAGAGACGTAATAGAAGTTTAGCGACAGGATAATAGAGCAGTATTCAGTGGGGAGGAATCATTACGTTGATAAAACCTCTCTCAAATTCACATGTCTCCCTAGAATCCACAAACTGCAGTTTGCTTTCTTTAAAAACCACATATGGAGTCTCTTCTACCAACGGCTGGGGGTGTGAACTCTTCAAGAGGCTTCATTCCTGGCCTGCGCAGCAGCGTGAAGAATTGTGTTATCAGGGCCTTTGTACAGAACAGAAGCAGGGCGGGCCGGCGGCTGCTTGCTGTTTCTAGGCGCGTGACGGCTGCCCTTCATCTTCCCCCGGCGCACCCTCCTTGCAGCTGCGTGCGAAGTTCTCAGGCCGTGGGGGTCTCGGGCCTTTCTCATAAAGCAGCAGTGTGGAAGTTTTAAATCTTTACTCAGATCTGGGGACCTTGGGATCCTGCTGACACTGTGAGCTCGGGGTGGGGGGGCCCCCAGCCGTGAGTTACCGTGTTGGCCAATCTTCCCTTTGTCTTGTGGGGCCCACACCCACCGTCACAGGCCTGTGCTGTGTCTCTTCGTGTCCGGTGGAGCCTCCAGGCTCTCCTTGCCCCTGGTTGCTCCTGTTGCGTGGGCGCCCGGCAGATCTTTATGGCCAGGGAGATGATGGAGGTGCCTCAGCAAAGTCAAAGCAGCCTGCAGGGGCCGTGTGGTATAGGGGAACCACAGCTGTAGGGGTTCAGGTTCATCTCCTTTCTTTCCTAATCCTTCCAGTAGCTTTCCTTGCTGGCCATGGGTTGAGCGCATGGATGGAACTCTGAGCCAAAAGACAGCCCTTTGGCAGACTGCCTTTGACAGAGTGCCCCATTGGCCCCGAGCAAGATGTGGACTCCCCCAGTAGGTTCTCGCTCTTTCTCTGCAGCATAGATAGCTCTGACCATCATATGCACGTTGTGCTAGTATATTCGTTCTTGGCTCTCTCCGCTTCTATCTGTAAGTAAAATGCTTTAAGAATTCCCAGGGTATAAGCCCTGTCCCCGCAGCCTCCTGCCACTCTTCCTCCTGGGGACATCCCGCTTTGAGCTGACCCTGGGAGCCTTTGGCACATGTCAAAGGGAACACCTCCTTCTTGATCCTGGAAAGTCCTGTGAGCACTCAGGTGATGCTTTTCCTGTGGGGCTGGCGTCATGGGAGCCGGGGCGGAGCCTGGTGGTGCGTCCTCGCACCGGCTGTTGGCCAGGGACCAGGGCACACGGGCCCTCCGCGCTCGCCCTTGCGCTCCCTGGCAAAGGCTGCTCTCAGGGAGTGTGCGTGCGAGCGCGATGTGCGGTTGCATAGCCTTGTCAAAGTCACAGTGTCTTTTCTGTCATTCTAGTTCCAGGGTCTCTTCCATGAGGACGACAGGCATCCGGAAAGTGCTAACTCGCCACTTTGGGTGCTTACTGTCTCTGGCTTGTTTCCAACACTGGAAATCATATAGAGAATTTTAGCATTTTTGGTCCTTGGTAAAACCTAGAAGACATTTGTGATGTTACAAAACGGAAGTTTTTTGTTTGTTTTGTTTTTGTTTTTGTTATTTTTTTTTTTTTAAATCTAAGAAGTTGTGAATGTTGTTAATCATTTAGCAGTTGCAATAAATGTAGAGGAAACCCAATTTCCCGTCTCTGGTGATGTGTTTTGAAAATGCGGCGGGTCGGGGACCACGTGACAGATGTTGAAGTACCTCCAGGGAAGAAGGTTGGACACTGTGGCCTCCCAGGCATGCCCTCTGCCTGCCAGGGCCTCTCTGCCTGATCTCCCCAGCCAGGGGGCCTGTTCAGTTGCTGGGAAAGCCTGGAGGGTGCCAGAGAGCAGGCAGGGACCCGTGCCAACCGTGGGGTGTGAGCATGTCCTCTTCTGAGTAGGGGGTTATTGCTGGGTATAAAACCCACCTTTGAGAGCATCAGGGATACCTGCCCTACTGCTGATGATGCCCCCCTCAAGGCTTTACCCGCTCCCAGGGTCGGGGCTCCAGCTGTCAAGCGTTAAACCGGGGCCACCCGGGCCTCCCCCTGACTGAAGGGGCCTGCCTGTGGGGCATCTTCACAGCTCCCTGCTGTTCCCGTGTGCTGCCCACTCTGCATCTGATTCCTCCACTGACAGCTTCTGGCCCTTTGGGGAAGGGATGAGGACAAAGGCTACAGCAGGCACGTACCAGACCCGCAGGGGCTTCCACGTGAGGACAGAGTGATGCGGAGGAGCCAGGCTGCTGTTGGACGCAGGGCGGAGGGGGCCCAGGAAGGGTTTGGGGTGTCGGCCAGTTAGGGGCAGATGAAACAGGGCCCCCTAGGAGCTGATGTGGGAACCCAAGCCTCCGTTTTCCCTGCTGTGTGCTGGAGAACGCTCAGGAGTGGCAGGGACCCATTTGACCATGATGGGAGCTATGGCCAGTCAAGTACCTCCTCCTTTTGCCTTCATTTTCACGAGAGCCCGAGGGGGTGGGGTCTGACTGCGGGCTTCAGCGCCCTCCCTGAGAAAGTCGCTCAGAACCCACAGCTACCCCACCTCATCTCCCACCCCTTCTCGGGAGACCGGAGGTAGGGTGTGAGCGGAATGGCTCTCCAGCAGCTGCCCCTAACTGGCCGACACCTCCTTTTGTCACCTCTGCGGGCCGGTGAAGGTCATATAGATGAGGACACATGGGGCGAGAGTCTTCGGCCTGGGACACCCATCTAAGCTTTGACCTGAGGCTCTATTTCCGTTCTGCAATCCGGGAAGGATTTCTTCTAGTTTGGCAGGTAAGATTTCCTCTGCTCTCTTGCTGTTTAGAGCGGACTGGGACCTAAATATGCCTTTCTGGGCCTGGAGGGCCCCTCCCCTTTCCTTCTCCCCAGCACCCTTTCCTGGAAGCCTTCGCAGGGCCCTGAGAAGCAGAAGGCGCCCTGGACATTGGGAAAGCAGCTTGTGGTTTTAAGGCAAGCTTTTGCTCTGCATGTACGTAACGTGGGTCCGTAATACCTGCAAACATGCACATTCAAGCAACACGTGTACATTTTCTTTGTAAATGATGAAAGCAGATATGTGCAGAGTGAGGCATGAAGTTGCCCCTCTCCCCTCCCACATAAAAATGAAATATAAAATAATCTCAAATAAAAACTTTTTAACATAAGACACCCAGTATGCTGCTTGGAGACTTGTGTCTTCACGCAACTGGAGGGCTCCACGGTTTTTTCACGGGAATAAAAATTTCTAGTACTGTTTGTGAATAAGTAACACCTGGCCCAAAGCAAAAGGTACAGAAGTGTGTTCTGTGGGAAAATGTCTCCCCGACCCCCAACGCCCAGGTCTCAGATCCCTTACGTGTAGATACACAGGCATATTTTAGGTGTAACCTTTCTTTAAAATGCAAATTCTGCACATTCTCATCTGCCTGTTGCTTTTTTCCACTTAAAAATTTTCCCCAGAAAATTTACATATATATGTAATGGACTGTCATTTAAGTTCCCCACCCAGAGGCATTCGAGTTGTTCCCAAGCCTTGGCTCCTACATCCCAGCACACTCTCTGTGGATAAAGCCTTAGAAATGGAATTTCTGGGACCAAGGCGGTGCTCCTGACATCTCCCCACCTCACTGTCTCCCTCCACAGCATTCCTGTGCCATGTGTTTTTTGGGGGGACCCTGTTAGCACCCCAGTTTTTCTAGCTGTGCCTGTCTCTCCACGATGTGGGGGGCCATGGTCCCCGGAAGAGGCAGGCTCTGCCCTCAGGGTGGACTGAACCACAGAGCATGGGCCCTGACCCCTCCAGACCCAGTCCCCATGCTCTGCTTCAGATGAGGACCCAGCTGCCACCCCTATGCTTCCTCCAGATTCCCCCACTCTGAGCCCCCCCCAACCTTGACCTTCCTGCGGGTGACCTTGTTTGGCCTGGGCAGAGGGGATCCTGTCTCTCTAGGTCTTGATGTCCCCTTCTGTCCAATAACTGTCTGGTGTCTACCCACGGGTGTGGGTCTTGAAGGCCAGAGATGGGCCAGCAGGGAGGAGGCCACAGCCAACCTTCCCCACAGCTGGAACAGTAGGACTTTCTTTTTTTTTTTTTTTTTAAAGATTTTATTTATTTATTTGAGAGAGAGAATGAGAGAGAGAGAGCACATGAGAGGGGGGAGGGTCAGAGGGAGAAGCAGACTCCCCGCCGAGCAGGGAGTCCGATGCGGGACTCGATCCCGGGACTCCAGGATCATGACCTGAGCCGAAGGCAGTCGCTTAACCGACTGAGCCACCCAGGCGCCCAACAGTAGGACTTTCTAAGCCTTGGTTGCCTTCCAGGGAAATGAGGCCTTGGGCTTGCAGGGTTAAAAGCAGTAATTCAGGACTGCTCATGGAGAGAGGGTTTAGGAGGGGCTGGTCCTGATTTTGAGCCTGTTTCCCCTCCTGGGAAGCAGACCTTGTACATGAGGATCCCCAAGCCCAGTCACGGTGCACCGAGGCCCCACTCCCCTGCCAGCTGGAGGGTGGGGTCACACCCCCAGATTAACCCCCTTTGATAGAGGAAGGGTTGAGGCCTAGGGTCAGCCAGAGAGGGGTAAATTGTGGAACTCCCATGTGTGGGGGGTTGAGAGTTGCGGGGTGGAGGGAGGGTGACAATGCTGGAGCTGGAGCCAGATTCTTGCCCAGCTATCACTCTGCCAGCTGCCCCCCCATTGTACACATGGGGAAACTGAGGCCCAGAAAGAGGAAGAGCCTGGCCCCAGGCTGCACCAGTTCTTCGAAGCCTTCCAAATCTCCACACCTGTTCCAGCCTCAGTTTCCCCATCTGGCTGGGACTGGCACCGTGTTGCAGCAGGCAGCAACCTTTCCAGCCAGTGGTGGGGACTTACAGTTTAGCCCCGGAGTCGGGTATCAGCTCCTACTCATGAATGTCAAGTACTGAGGAGGCTCCTAAGCCACCCAGCTGGCCAACAATGGGGGTGACGCTTCACCCTGCGCGCAGGCCCCACCATGCCTGTGGGACCTCCATTCAACCTCCAAGGCCCACTTGCCACCCTGCTCTCTCCAGACAGAGGCCTGGCTGCCCCTCTGGCTTCCGGAGGCCTGTCCCTGACCCCCTGAGCTAAGGTTGCCCGGCTCTGTCGCACCTGGGCCGGGGCCTCCTCCACGGCACTGCATCAAATGAATGTTCAATGAAAGGACCATGAACAAGTGAATTGTGTGTTCAATGTCTAAAGTCTCATCCTTACAGAAGGGACCTGCCTTGGGATGGACAGGTAGACTCTAGTCATGTCTCAGCTTGGGGGGTGTAACGACAGGTGACCTTGAGCAAGCTCCATGCCCTCTGGGACTCCATTTCCTGCATCCGTAACATTGGATAATGAGGTATGAGCTAGAGGAGTCAAGGAGGCCCCATTAAATGAAAATCCACTTTTCTACAGTATTTACATCACCATTTTAATATACTGTATTGGACTCTATAGAAATAGAAATACAAACTCAAATCTGTACATTCGTGGTCACAAATTCTGGAAAACTCCACACCCACCTATTAACAGATGTTCCTTTGGGAAGAGGGCTGGGTTGTGGGTGAGAATAGTCACTATTTACTGCAGACATTTCTGTGTGGTTTGAAGTCTTTGCTTGTATCATTTTAGAATGACAAAAAATTAAGTGTCTATGAAAATGTGGATGATAAACTCAGCGTTGGATTTGCTTTGAGAGTCAAAGGATATCACGGGCGTCCTCTTCAGAGCCCATAGCACAGACTGTATACCGTAACAAATCTGATAGTTGCTGGTCTTGGTGGAGTCTAATCCTTGCATCCAGCAGAAGCTGGTCCATTTCTCAGTGGAGAAACTGAGGCCCTGGACAGACTCCAGACCCACACTCAACGCCAGGATTTCCACTTGGTCTTACCTGGTTTTGAAGCTCCCCGCACACACACACACACACGTGTGCCCAAATGCACGGCCGCATATGCACACGTGCATGCACGTACCCAAAGACACATGTGTGCTTGTGCAAGCTCAAAGACGTGCGCATATGCAGACACGGGCAGACGTACACACAGGCACGTTTCTATTTCCCACCAAGCCCACGCTCAGGGCCCTGGGAACTTGGACATTCCCAGGAATCGCAGCTCCGCTCTGAACCTGGCACCAGCCACTTCCCTCAGACCCCAGGAGGGGGACCTCATGAGCTGAGCTTTGCTTTGCTCCAGTTTTCTCCAGAGATTTCTCAGGTCGGACTTGTGGGAGTGCTGCCCTCGGTTCCTGGAGTTCCAAGTCTGTTGTGAGCAGTGAGGTTTCCGCTTCGAGATTTCAACATTCGTGTCTCGGTGACTTGCTTTTTTGCCCGGAGGCAGCTCAGAGCAAAGCGGAACTTGAGGTTTGGAATACTC